GATCAATATGTTTGCATTTGTGAAAAGTGAAATAGCGAACTGCAAGCGGTATTGGTGTTTTATCTTTGTAAACTATGAACTAGCCAAATGGACAAGTAACTTTGGTACTTAGGTAACTGAGTCTCTCCTTCCTAAAATATATTCAAACCTGGAATGTATTCACCCCATATTCATATCTGTATCTGTGGAGTTCATGGTGTCTTCTTTCTGCTTTGATTGCTTACCCTGAGTCTCTTCGAAACATTATTTTCTAGCTGTGCTACATTAGTGCCTTTTTGTCTCTTGGCCTTCAGCTCTCCCCCCACTTGGCTACAAGCTCTGTGAATCTACCCTAGTGTTCTAAAGGAATGATGAGAAGAAAATACTCATGGTAGGCAACCATAAATGGGTGTCTGGTTTTTATCATTATCCCTAGAGAGGTGCTATAGCATAGCATATGGTGTCAGAGATCTAAGACCTAGGCTTCCTGGTTTCAAATCCCAACTCTTCATCACTGCTAGTAGTATGACCTTGGTCAGTCCCTCAGTTTCACCAAATTCAGATTATTAGCAAAAGAGAAGAAGCCTAACTTTATTAGGTTGGTATGAGGAATGAATGGAATTCCTTTCTAAATCTCTGTGCTGGGGGTGGGGAGATACTTTCTGTTGTGAGGAATGGTGGCTTCAGAAAGTTAAAGCAGAGGTAGACAGACCAGCAGAAGTTCCTAATCACAATTTTCACTGTAAATACTGCAGAACTGTGAATGACTTGGGTGTGTGCCTTTTTAAATCCCTTCTAGAATTTGGAGAATGTGGAAAGAAATCACTCTCTGGTTTGACTTTCCATGCTCCAGTTCATCACTTCCCTAGGAAAAAGTTGGTTTTGCTAAGGGTAGGCACTCCATCTAGGGCAGAAATTTGATACAATCCAAACATTGAAAGCTATTGGGCTTATAGAGGAAATAGATCACTGTCCAACCAAATTTGATATCCAGGCCTAGTGCGAGGCATAGTATTTACAGCCCCAAATCGAAGTGGATAGCTTGTATTACATATTCCAGCTTTTAAATTCTTACTAACAGTATGTATGCCCAGAGATTAAAGAGGTGACCAGTTCTAGACGGCTTATTATGGAAAACAGTACCAGCACCAGTTTCCCACTTCCCACTAACTTGGCTGTTCTAATACTTGCTCAGTTTCTCTAAATAATGTGCTTAGATGGTTCGATTTTTCAGTTGTGGGTATTCCCTATTGACTTCACAGCATGGAGGAGGAGGGTTTAGGTCTGTTTTAACCCAACCCCACCCACCTACCTAGACACCCAAATCCTCTCTACACAGCTATATCGTGAATTTAGTTAGACTAGTGTGTTTAGTTTATTATGACTATGTGACCTTTCTTCATCGCTGAGCCATTAACACATAATTATTCATCTTATTTGGGGCACAATTCTCTGTTTACTGTGTGATTTATAATTATCTTTGGTGTTGCTGTTGTTGGTTTAGTTCTCTATGTTCCATTCCCAGGACACTCTATCTCCTCTCCATAGGTTCAAAATCATCAGATATTTCATCAGACACCTCCCTCAGTATTACAGGCACATGCGAATCTGTAAGTTTTGGCTGGCTGAGGCTGGGAGTGATTGGCAACATGAGGACTCTGTTGAGGGTGTGTCTCCTTTCCTTCCTCTGTCTGTCTTGCTCATGAAAGAAATACATTTAAATTTTTTTTAAAAAAAATAGAAGTTTCATTTTTCATTTTGAAATATCTTTTGACCATCATTCTAGAATCTCCTGAAGTCACCTTTCATCATTCTGGGTATTTCCTTCAATTATTATTATCAAAAATTCTGGTTGCTTAGTATCATGATTTATTGTAATATGTACTTTCATGTAACAAGTCTTTTACTCCCTTATTTTAGTGGAGTACATCCTCAAGTAGCTTTTTCAGAAAGGGTTCATAGGAGGTAAATTTTTTGAGAGAACTTAATTTTATATTTATTCATTTCTTACTTTCAATTAATAATTTGGTTGAGTACAGAATCCCAGGTTGAAATAATCTTCCTCTGTAATTTCAAAGGCATTGCTCCATTTTCTTCAAGTTTTCCCTGTTTTTGTTGGGAAATAAATGGTCATTCTGGACCTCATCCCTTGTATATAAGCATTCTTACTCTCTCTGGTAGTTTTTAGGGTTTGTTTTTTGTCCTAGTACTCTAAATAAATTCATGATTATGTGCCTCAGTGTACATCTTTTTGCTATTGTTCATCTTGCACTTAAAGAGGGATGCTCAGAGACCCTTTTACTGTGAAAGTGTATGTCCTTAAATTCCTGGAATTCTTCTTAAATTATTTAAGTGATTGTTACCTCGTTCCATGTTTTCTGAAACTTCAAATACTGGAGCTCTTGTTTTGGTTTTGGGTTTTTGTTTGTTGTTTTTGGGTTTTTTTGTTTTGTTTTTTTGTTTTTTTGTTGTTTGTGGGGTTTCTTTTTTTTTTTGCTATAGGGCATGTGCACTCACCAGACAAACAGAGAGAAAAACAGAGAGACAGAAAGCGAGAAATCACCCCCCCCCAGGGGGTTGGCCACACCACAATCCCTTCTCCTCCATTCTCCTCTCGGGATCTTGGGCACATGTGCGCATGCACCCGGCATGAGTTTTAAGCCACCGGGTCCGGGACGCAAACCATGGACTCTCACTACGTGAGAGTCCAGCAACATAGCCATTACGCTAACTGCTGGTCCCTTGGTTTTTTGGGGTTTTTTTTTAATTACTTATTTAATTTTATTTATTCATTCATTTATTTTAATTTAACCAAAGAGAGAGAGAGGGAAAGTGAGAAAGCAAGCCACCAGGTCTGGGACTCAAACCATGGTTGGCCATGTGGGAATGCTCAGCACCTTAACCATGACACCATCTACTGGTCCCCTAGAGCTCTTGTTTTCTAGTAAGTAAGGGACGAACCCAACTGGGCTACTTGAAGTGAGGCAGAAGGTTTGAAAATTACATTTTTAGACAGTCTTTTAATTGTCCTATTTTTCAGGCTCCTCTTTACTCTCACTTCTAGAAATTTCCCCATTGCCAACTGAATGACCAATTATTCTTCTATTTTTCAGCTTCCAAAATGTTGTCGCTCTAATCAGCTCTTCTGTCCTTTTTGCCTTCTGGGTTTAGGTATTGCCTTTAAAAGATCCTTTCACTACTACCTTATTACAAGAAAGAGTAAAGACAATGTTTTTCGTACAATCTGCCATCTTGGACTAAAAGCCAAATTATTTGTTAGTGAAATTCATAATTGATATTTGCCATGTTTTAAAGTCCTAATTATGATACATTGAATAAATATTCACAATGTGTTATGACCTGCTAGAAAAGGAACAATTAGTCCACTTTAGTCTATTCTATAGGTAATGGGTGGTGACCATGGCTCCCAAGAGTTTGACATACATGGAGAGAAAAATAAAGGGATAAAGAACACTTTGTACTTGTTCTAAAGTGATTTTTGTGATGTGAACCTTCATGACAATTCCACCATCTATAACTTAACTCTGCAAATAAAACACCTACCAAGACAAATTCAGCAACAGAAAATACCTATGTGTCTATATAATAAGTGGAAGATTAGGTTAATGGGAAAAAATGGCCCCATTATTCACTGATGGTTCTAGTAAAGTCTTATCTTTTGTGTTATTTGGATCCAGAAAACTTCCTCTGGGTTGACTTCGCCTGGTCTTTCTTTATAGACTGGCACAGCAGTTGGGAAGAGAAGAGGCATGAAAGACGACCTTGTTCACTGGACCCCTTTTTCCCATTGTCTTTGTTTAGCATGTGCCTGTCGTTGGCCCAGCTGAGTGTGTGTGTCCTTTTTCACTTGATCAAAGGCAGAGACAGCCAGACAAATGTCCTGTGTCCATGGAATGGTTGATACTCTTCTCAGAAGGAAGGAGGGAATCATGGGTAGCACTGTGGACTCTCCAGGTTTCTTTGTAAGGGTCTGCCAAAATAGACATACATAAGAATAGAGCAAAAATATTAAGTATTACTCAAAAAGAGTCACTGAAAGACTTAACAGGGAAAAATGAGTCTTCCTCCAGAGCAGAGGTTTCAATCTGACATACACAGTCCCTCCCCTCTCCACTCCCTCTCCTCCCCAGGATGCTAGTCCCTGACTCCTCTGCCCTCCTTACTGCATCTAGTGACCTTTTCCCCCTGTGGGCCAGACTGCCTTAGCCTCCATTGGTGAGCCTGTTGGCCTAGTCTTAACAGAATCAGCAACTCTATAAAGGAATATCTCCCAAATGCAAGAATAACATTTTTCCAGATTGTATGCAAATTAATCTTTTCAAAATGCTTGTTAAATCAGCGGTCAAATGCCAACAAGATGAGGCATGTAATAGAGATGAGGGAGGAGGGCCAGGAGGGGACTGTGCAAAGGGCTTGGTCATGCCCTTTCTAAGGGCACAGCTGCCCAGCTCTGGTTGCTCATTCCATGGGCTGCAGCAGACAGTGGAGCTGATGACTAAGACACAGATTACTCTGGCTCTTCTCATCCATAGGGAAGCTAAGGCAGGCCCATGCCTGAGCCACCATGACTCTGCTGAGGGTCTACTTCACGGTGAGCCTCACCCTCAGCCTCGCTACCTTCCTCAGACTGCCTGATAGCCTGAGACACCACCCAGTCTTCACTCTCTCCTTGACAGGATTCTCACCCACATCATGGTGGGCAGGCAGCTCGCCCATCTCCCCTGGCTCCTTCCCATTTTTCTATCACTAACCTAACAAAAACTGTTGCAAGTTTAATCCCATCTTGGTATCTGCCTCTCAGAAAATCAAGGCAAATATGTCTAAAGACCTTTACCAAGTTGCTATTGATTGGCAGATTGATTGGATCTAGGGTAGGAGGCACAGAGATGAGCCTGTGTTTCAGCTTATCACTGGCCAGAGCCGCCTGGAGCCACACCACTGTCTTATTTGCATGGTCCAATATCCCATTTTTCGTTGTCTTTCTTTCCCTTTTCCTTTAGGTTGTGGCTCTGTCCTCCTGGTGCCTGCTGAGGGACTCGATTTACTACACACTGTCTGTGGTCGCGCTCATCGTGGTAAGTTGCTTTCTCCATGTCCGTTCCCATACGTGTGCTTCTCGGTACCAGGGGTGATGTGCAGCCCATCGGGTGAAGTTTGCCAAGGACGTGGTGAATGAGCACGTGCATGGCTATGTGTAAAGGCAGCGTTTCCTTCCTCCAATTACTTTGATCACCTGAGACCCAAGCTTGGTCACTGGATGCTCTAAACAGGAGTTTTGACTTCACTTGGGTTATCTGGGTTCATATGAGTCCCTTGCTGGTCTTCTGTAACCCTCCTGACCATTTCTTCTCACTTTCCTTGTGACTCTTCTGCATTTCCTTTCACCAGCATCCCTGGCTTTGGACCTAACTTCTCCCCTTCTCACTCTGTATGCTCTTCCTGGATACCCCTCCCTCCCCACAGCACCCATCACCATGAGCACCATCGTACTGACACCCCCACACCTGCATTCACAGCAGTGACATCTCCTTGAGGTCCAGTCACAGATATACAACCTTCTTCTAGAAATCTTCATGCCCCAAACCCAACATGCTTCTAAATTTTTGATGTTTTCCCTAAGATCAGACCACCTGACTATGTGACAGTCCCCATTTCTATTTTAGATTCCCAACCTAGGAATAATATGAAATTAACCTTTCCTTCAACTCTCACCATGCCCTGTGGCCTAATCGTCCTGTGGATTTTCTTGGAAAGATCCCCAGACATGTTTCTCCATTACCCAATTCAGGTGGGGCCTTCTCCATTGCTGCCTGTCTGGTATGTCTTCACTGCAGTTCATTGCAGGTCGGTGTCGCAATGCATAGTAGCTCTTCCACCAAGTCTCCTCCATCCCTGGTTGGTCCTAGAACCATCCAGGTAGTGCCTCCACAAAGAACACTTGTAAATGTCATTTCCTTTTTTAACTGATGGTGCTTCATGTCACTTGATGAGCAGAAACCAAGGTCCTTAGCCTAGCAAGCTGAGCTGTCCACAAGAAATCACAAAGAACCTTGGAATAAAAGTTGGCAGATCTGATTACTAATTCTGCCCCTTCCACACCATGTTCAATTTTAACTAGACCAAGGGGTACCCAGATGGCTGGTGAAACACTATTTCTGAGTCTGTCTGTAAGAGTCTCTTTCAGCAGAGATAGGCATTTGAATCTTTAGATATCATGAAAGATCACCCTCACCAGTATGCATAAGCATCATTCCATCTGTTGCAGGCCCGAATAGAACACAAAGACAAAAGTAGGGTGAATTTGCTCTTTCTGCTTACTGAGTCACACGGCTTCTCCTGCCCTTGGCACTGAGCTATTGGCTCCTGAGCCTTTGCACTTGGACTCTCTTCTTCTTAGGCCTTCAGGCTTGGACTGGAAATACACCACTGGCTTTATAAACCAAAGACCATGGAACTTCTCAGCCTCCAAAATAATGTGAACCATACCTCATAATAGATCTCTTTCTCTCTCTCTTCCTATACACGCACACATACACAGACACAGACATATGGTCTTCAAAAAGTTGATAGAAAATGAATATTATGGGAATGAATATATTAGATCCATGGATTCTAAAAAAATTTTACACCAAAATAAACTCATACTTTAATTCCATTTTCCACAAACTTTTTATTTTTTTTAAGAGATTTTTTCCTTAGGGTGCATGTGCTTACTGGAGAGAGAGAGATAGAGAGTGAGAGAGGAAGTGAGAAATCACTCCCCAGGAGGGATGGCCACACTGCAATCCTTTCTCCTCCAATCTCCCCACAAGATCTGGGCATGCACACACACGTGCAAACACAGCGTGGTTTTCAAGCCACCAGGTCTGGGACGCAAACTATGGTCAGCCATGTGGAAGTCCAGCAATGAAACTGCTATGCCATTAAAGAAAGACAGCTGCTGGCCCCATTTCCACAGACTTTTAAAGTCCCTCATGTATATCTCCTATTGGTTCTGAGTCTGTGGAGAACACTGACTTACATATTCCCTTACTAGCTCTAATGACCTTGAAGAAATCAATTTCTCTAGGTCTTTGTTTTGTCCAAAAAACAAAAATATATCCACTAAAATGTCTACTCACCTGGTTTTTTTGTTTGTTTGTTTTTTCTTTTCTTTTTTTTTTTTTTTGAGAGGATTTTACTATAGAGAGCGTGCGCTTGCCAGAAAGACAGAGAGAGACAGAAAGTGAGAAATCACCCCTCCTGGGTGCAATCCCTTCTCCTCCATTCTCCTCTCGGGATCTTGGGTACACACGCACATGTGCCCAGCATGAGTTTAAGCCACCGGGTCCGGAAATCAAACCACAGTCAACTACATGGGAGTCCAGTGACATAGCCAGTATACCAACTGCTGGTCTTTTTACTCACCTGTTTCACAAAGCACTTACTTGTAGATAATTTTATTGTAAAACTCTGTGGAAATAAGATAAATCTGATGTTTGATATGAGCCTTTCCACAAGGAACCAGATAGATACGTCAGTGAGGAGCAGTTTTTTATGCTGAAATTTGGGATTTTAAAAACCTTCACAAGGTTTGTCAGGAGATGAGTGTTGACCTAGAAACTGAGCTACACAGTCTAAACTTTGTCCTCCAGAGTTTCCAGGTTAAGACAGAAAGGAAATTGGACCAACCACACTCCCCTAAATACAGGAACCACTTATAATTGGGAGGTCTAGACCCACCCCAAGGAGCAGAGGGTTCAGCATGGCATGCTGGAACTGAAAATGTGCTTCCTCTTTAAGACTCCCAGTTAGTAAACTCAAAGACACCCTCAAATTCTGTGTTCTTGTGCTCAGTTATTACCTGTGAAAGGCTATGATCACCTGAAACCTCGAGAATTCTACTCTTCATCTCAGCTCAGACCCCTAGACACTTCACAGCAAGCTTGGTCGTACAAACCCATGCAGATTATGTGCACTTATGCCATTAGTTATTTTAGGATGATTTTTCTTGAGAGATTTTTGCCATAGGGTGCATGTACTCACCAGAGAGACAGAAGTGAGAAATCACCCCCGGCGGGGATGGCCACGCTGCAATCCTTTCTCTTCCATTTTCCTCTTGGGATCTTGAGCATACACACACACACACACACACACACACACACACACACACACACATACTTGGCATGAATTTTAAGCCACCAGGTCTGGGACTCAAACCACAGTCAACTATGTGGGAGTCCAACAACGTAATCATTATGCCGTCTGCTGGACCCTTAGGATGATTTTTGAAAATTACTTGTTTCAGGCCAGCCAGTGGCATGGTGGTTGAGATACCAAGATCCTACATGGCCTACTAGAAGGACTAGAAGGGAAAAAAGGATCATTTAATATATATATTTTTAAAAGCTAGGAAAACTATTATTAATTGTTCACATGAGCCTTTAACAGGAGCTCATGGTTTGAATCCCAGACCCAGAAGCTCGAGGAACACACTGAGCACAGGTACGTACATGCCCAAAATCCAGAAAGGAGGGAGAGATGGAGAAAGGACTGTGGCATGGCCATCTCCCTGGTGGGTGTGCTCGCTTGCTCTCCACCCTCCACCCCTGCCCACAGCAAGCACATGTGCCCTATAGCAAATTACAAAAAAAAAAAAAAAAAAAAAGAGAAAGAAAGAAAGAAAGAAGGAAAGAAAGAAAAATGAGAGAGAGAGAGAGGAAGAAGGAAGAAAAAGAGAGAAAAGAACAGAAAATTGCTTGTTCCAAGAGATGAGGTTAGCAGATAATGTAAGTGAATGCAACTGTCTACTTTGCTGAATTTCAGAAAGAAGAGACTACGCTCATAAAAACAAGGTGATGAAACAGAGCTGAGCAGGTCAAGATCTCCCGGTAGCACGGACTTAACAATATCCACTCCCAGCAGCAATTTTTGCTTTTGCCGACTTCTTTCCCTGTTTTCAACTGAGACGCTTCCTAGACTAAGTGTGAAATAACTTGTCTTCTGTCCAATTTATCTGGACATATCCAAGATAAAATAAATGTAATTGTTGTTAATGATGTGTGAAGAAGTAAAGAGCTTTGGTTTCTCAGGCTGTAGTTGACATATTTGCCCAAGCCTGGTCTTCGGGCAAAGCTACCGTCTGTCCTCAGAGTGTGGAGCGCAAATCACACAGCTGAGCCAGCTGAACATGGAGATCACCTAGAGCGCTCAGTGTTTTCTCCAGACAGGAACAAGCTGCAAAAGCCAATGAGTCGAAGCCAGCAGGTGACATGGTAGTTAAGACACTGAACTCCCACATGGCTGACTACAGTTCTAGCCCCGGACCTGGTAACTTGCTTTCTCACTTTCCCTCTCTCTCGCCCTCTCTCTCTCTCTCTCTCTCTCTCTCTCTCTCTCTCTCTCTCTCTCTTTCTCTCATCAAATTAAATCATAATAATTAATTAATTTAATTAAACACAATAATTCTTAAAAAAAAAAAAAAAGAAAGAAATACAGCCGAGTCTTCGCTGTTACCTGAAGATTTGGATTGTGTATTTACAGACAAATTGTCAAGACAAGAGTTTTGTGATTTTTAAGAAAAATTCTATTTCTCCACTGTAAAGAAGAAATGGAAAAAAGAACAATTTAATACATTTTTAAAAAAATAATAGAACTATTATTAAATGTTTGCAAGCCTTAAACAGGAGCTCAGTGCTTAGTGAAGTCGCTTTCACAGTCCCCAGAACTACTCCGTGTTCCCACCTCAGGCTGCAGACAGCTCACACTCAAGTCTTTTTCTCAAGGTTTCTTATTCTCCTCCTTCTATGTTTTTCCTACTATCATGGTAAGAAGTATCATTTTCTTCTGGTTTCCTGATGTAATACTAAGTTTCTCTATAGGACTCTGTGATGGGTGCTTAAATTTTTCTTTATTTAAAAGCTCTTCCTCCTACCCACAAAATAATTACCAACCTTCCCAAACAATTTATTTAGCTATTGGGACTTTTTAAGTGCTCTCTCCATTAAATGGTTCTGAAATGTTCAAAAGGCGTAACTGCAGGTCCCAGAGGTTGTGTAGTAAAGAGCTCATTCACCCAGAGGGCGAGTCTGGATTA